TATTAAACATCTAGGGGAAAATCATATTACTCATATACAAGCTCTTACAAAAGAAAGGCTGGAACACTGCCCTACACATTACTCAAATACCAAAACCACAAAACCACAGATAAATATTGCTCATGCACATAGAAAATTCTTCTAATTTTAGCATATTAAGCCTAGCAATGTGTGAAATTGATGAAATGTCATGATTAACTGGTTAATTTCAAGAATGCAAGGTTAGTTGATCATTTAAAAAAATCAATAGATGTTAATACATTCAGATGAAAAGCAAGAATCATTCTTCTTCTTAAAAAGATAAAAGATTCACTTTGTGCGTGTGCATGTGTGCGTGTGTGTGCGCACGCGGGTGTGTGTGCCTGAGTGCATGCAAGTGCATAATGCATGCACAGGTGCCTGTGGAGGCCAGAAGAGGGTACCAGAGAGTGCCAGATCCCTTGGAACTAGAATTACAGTTTCTGCTGCCTGATGTGGATGCTAGGAACCAGATCCAGGCCCCCTGTAAGAGTAACAAGTGTTCTTAACCACTGAGTTGTCTCTCTACCCCAAGAACGATTTCCATAGGAAGCAATTGACTAAATTGCGTTTTAATGCAGATGGTTGCTGACAAAGTGGAGTGAACTGAAGGAATCTGAAGTGGCTCTCCAGAAACCCTCATCTAAAGTGCTAATGCTGAGATTCTATCCTAGGACATTTTTGTCACATTCTCTTTATAGTATGTTGTCTTGATATAGTCAACTTTACTAAGGTGAAGTTTTCACCCCAAATTTGACTCGCTTCAAGTATACATTTCAGTTTCTACATTTCTACAAACATGTAGAGTATACTGACGTCTTTATGATATAGACAGCTCCCCGCCCCCCGCCCCCCCCCCGCCCACCTCCACCAAGCTCCATTCAACCAGTTCCCTTTCTTCACCTCTCACCCCAGTCCTTGAAAGCCATTAACATCCCTTCAGTCACTTCAGGTTTCTTCTTCTAGAGCCCATGAGTGGGATCATACAGCGTGTTTTCTTCTGTCTGACTTTCTTGATTCGCCACAATGCAGCTAGCTTTCCTCCAGAATTGTGGAAACCAAGTGATGTCATCCCCATTGCTGAGTTCAAAATCAAATAACCATTTACCCATTCTTTCTTGAAAGAAATCTGGGGTGGTTTCCATTTTGGAACTATATGAGTAAAACTTTGCTGCTGATGTGGAAGTCTTTGTATTTCTTTTGGGGAATTCCTGGAAGGGACATATCATATCACAAGGTATATGTTTAACTTGATTAAAGACAACCAGATTTCAGAGAAAATTTCCAGTTATTGCAGTTTCCAAACAAGAAATGTGACTTCCAGAGTTCCAGCTGCCACCCAAGGTTTATAAACCTTGCAAGTTGTTGAGATTTTTGTTGTAGAAATTTCAGTGACTATGCAGTGCTTATTTCCTGGATTTCATTAACAGTTCCATTAAAATAATGATCATGAATATTTTTGAGTGTTATTTAAATATGTATTTTTTGGTAAAGTATCTGTTCAAACATATTTTACATTTGGATGGAGATGTAATTCAGTGGCAGAGTGCCTGTCTAGCAGAGGTGGATTCCATTTCTAGCACTAAAAAATAAGTGTGTACAACATATTATGTATGTATTTTCACTGTTTTAAATGTATAGATGTATATGTGCACATATTGTTTGTTTTCTTATTGCTGAGTGGTTAGAAGCTCTATATAATCTGAACAGAAAGTCTATTACTAGAAATGTGTTGACTATTTCCTTGTTACTTTCATTAGAGAATGTCTTTTGTAATAGCTCGTCTTTTCCTAGCCAGAATAGCCAATTGGGGAAAAACAAAACAACAACAAATGAGAGCCAAGGCTGGTGAGGATGTGGGGAAAGGGGAACACGCATTCACTATTGGTGGAATGCTATAGACAAATTTCTAGGCGGCCTTATTAAATAAAGAACATGGAGCCAAATATGGAGGTGAAAGCCTTAGAGATCAGGGAAATAGTGAGAGCCACCAACCACCTTACCTCACCAGCAATGTAGCTTCCAAACTGTGAACTACTTCCTGTCTAACTTGCACCTTTATTGCCTTGCTGCTCTGCCCTCTCATTGGCTCTTATCCCAGCTACCTCACTTCCTTGTCACTGCTTGTCTGTACAGACCTCCAGGTCTCTATGGTTGGTACTGGGATGAAAGGCTTGTGTCACCACACTTGGCTCTGTTCCCTAGTATGACCTTGAATACACAGAGACCCTGCCTGCCAAGTGATCGGATTAAGGGTGTGTGCTATCACTGCCTGACTTTGTGTTAATGGCTTGCTGCCTCCTCTGATCTCCAAGCAAACTTTATTAACATACAAATAAAATATCACCACATTTCAGCACAAATAACATGTCACCACAGGATGCAAACTGGTACAGCCACTGTGGAAATCAGTAGAAGTTTCCTTAAAAAGCTGAAAATAGATCTACCAAAAGATCCAGCTGTACCACTCTTGGGCATATACCCAAGGTCTGTGTGTCTTACCACAGAGATACTGGCTCTTTCATGTTCGCTGAGGTCTATTCACAATAGTCAGGAAATGGAAACAGCGAAGATGCCCATCGACTGATGAATGGTTAATTAAATTTGGTACAGTCATACAATGAAATATTATTAAGGTGGAAGAGAATGAAAATTATTAAATTTTCAAGTAAATGAATGGAGCTAGAAATGATTATGCTCAATATGGTAACCAGAACCAGAAAGGCAGCAATTACATGTTTTCTCACATGTGAATGTTAGCTTCCTCTTAAGTTTTAATGAGAGCATTTCATTTGGAATACCCACACAGCTTTGGGAACTAGGAATGGCCATGGGGGATAAAGGGATCACTCAATGAAGGGAAAGTAAAATATAGTGCTTTAAAGGGAGGAAGGGGAAAAACAGAATGGGAAGGATTGAATTCCCTTTATCCTGCTCTCCCATCCCCTTTTCCATTTAGTCCCGATTACCGATTCCTGGCATGCCCCTGCGCAGAAAAGGGTGGGGGGGGGAAACATACAGCTTTGCTAACTCATCTTACAGTCATGGATTCATAATTATGCTGTTGTTTTTCCCAGTTCACTTACTGTTGTTGACATTTATATCGCAAATCTTCATCACCTAAAAATTCTACATGGTATTTTCCACACTAAATTGTTTCCTCTATTGCTGCGAAAACAGCAGCTTCCAAAAATGCCTACTATACATCTGTGTTCGCTCGCTATCTTATGCTACTTTGAACAAAATGTCCAAGATCTCAGCAGAGGCTAACATTCCATGCATGCCCTAAGGCTCGTGATATTCTCTTCTGCCTAAACATAGGATTCATTTTAGTTCATCCCAGGCCAAAATCGTTCCTCTGCCCACTTCGCCATCCTTACCCCAACATAAATGTACTTCTGCTTCCTATTTTAGAAATAAAATGAAATTCAAATCATTGGGCTGGCACCCATGCCTGCATTAACTACTACCTGTTTTATTGTACAGTAATACTCCTGGGAAGAGCAGCTTCAAGTCTATTCTATTAAACTCTACCCAACAAGGCTTTATTTCTTATTACTCCATCAAACATTCCCAAGTCCCAGGGAGAAAACATTCTTGTCATTTTTATTTTTATTTTTAATTTTTTTGGTTTTTCGAGACAGGGTTTCTCTATGTAGTTTTGGTGCCTGTCCTGGATCTCACTCTGTAGTAGACCAAGCTGGCTGCAAACTCACAGATATCTGCCTCCTGAGTTCTGGGATTAAAGGCGTGCACCACCGCTGCCTGGCTCATCTCATGAGGGTGGTAAACTCTTAGTAGTATCACATCTCAATTGTCTTACAAGTTAAATTTTTTTAGAATAATTTTTAAATTTTTATTACATATGAGTGTTTGCCCACATGTACATCTGTGCACCGTGTGCATGCCTGGTGCCTGTGGAGGTCAGAATGTTTGGATTCCATAGAACTGGAATTATGGCAAGCTGCCAGGTGGGTACTTGGAACTGAACCTGGGACCTCTGCGAGACCAAATGCTCTTAGCTGCTGAGTCATTTCTCCCTTATCTTGGATTATTTTTGTGTGTGTGTGTGTGTGTGTGTGTGTGTGTGTGTGTGTGTGTGTGTGTGTGTCAAATATATTCATCTGCATTGCTTAAGTTGCCTATGTAAACAAAAAATAAAACAGACTTCTTTAAGTCTGGGAAATCTGGGAAACAGAGAGCCAGGATGACACACACAGTATTACTCACTTGTAGCCAAAATTCTAAACAGTCTTAGAAAATAAGAAACACGGAGCCAAATACAGCGGTAATAGCCGAAGAGATCAGAGAATTAGTGAAGAGCCACTGACTACCCTTTAGCTTACTACCAAGCAATAGTTTCCCACATGAGAGAGCTTCTTCCTGCCTAACCTGTGCTTTTATTGCTTTCCTGTTCTGCCTTCTCATTGGCTCTAGGCCCAGCCATATGACTTCCTTGTCACTGCCTGTCTAAACAGACCTCCAGGTCTCTATGGTTGGTACTGGGACTAAAGGCTAGTGTCACCACGCTTGGCTGTGTCCTTGACCCCACAAAGACTCTGCCTGCCCTGTGATCAGATTAAGGGTGTGGGCTACCACCGCCTGACTTCTGTTCCTGGCTGGCTATGACCTCTGATCTCCAGGCAAACTTTATTTATTAACATACAAATAAAATCACATTTCAGCGCAATTAAAATATCACCACATTCACTAATCACAGAGTAAGACAGACTATTTTAGTGAAGTTTAAACACTTCCCTGAGAGGTACCGGTAACACCTTGACAGATACTTTAGCTATGTAAGTATCACAAGACTCCTAACTGCAAGTGTTGTATTTTTAAGTTCTGGAGATGGAGTGCACAGCCTGGTGCATCCTGAGAATCACTCAACCACTGAGCTATGGTGCTTCTATGCACTAAATATAACAATTCAAAAACAGATGGTCAAAGATTTACATACTAATAAAGTTCTCATAAGATAGTTTATATCATAAAATTTTATTTATAATTCTGGAAAATATATGAATTGGCTCCTCACAAATAAGAGACAAAGTCTGTTCCAAGAGCTCATGCTTAATTACACAATGGAGTCAGGACAGCATTCTTTAAGGCTACTATTCTTAAAATAAGTAGAAACATGAATCACAAGGATAGCCACGGAAACTGTTATGTTTTCTTTCATGAAACTAGTGTAAATCATTCTTCTTAAGACATTTCTTACTTATTTTTAATTTTGGATTGTTTTCTGGTTTCTTGTTTTTTTTTTATTTTTCAATTACATTGTTTTGGTGGGGACAGGTGTGGAGGGCAGGGGTAACTTGTGGGAGTCGGTGTTCTGCTACTGTGTAGGTCATGGAGATCTAACTCAGGCTATTAGGTTTGACCTCCAATACCTTTATCTGTTGAGACATCATACAATCTTATTATTTTTTCACTTCCTTACTTTATTTATTTATCTGTGTTTCTGAGATAGGGTTTCAATATGTAGTCCTAGTTGGTCTGAAACTTGCGTCGATGGCCTGCCTCTTGTTTCTTGAGTGCTGGGATCACAGGTGTGGACAACCTTGTCCAGTTCTGTGTCTACTTTATCAAAGAAAAATCAAAACCACCTGGTTCCAAATGAGGTCACTGCTTGCAAAATGTAACGGTCATAACTTCAATATTACCTGAGTTTCCAATAATTCATCCATCACCAACGATGTAAATAATTTCTATCTGCAATGCAAAAGCTTTCACATGAGAGGAGGTTCCGGCCTCTTAGCACTAAGAGCATCACTCAGGAACACACAGCAGCTGGACCCTTAAGAACGCTCTCTGGCTCCAGACAGGTGCTCAGTAGACAAAGCACGTGTTGGGGTCATCTCCTCCTCTCCTCACTCACTTGGTGGGAGCCAAATGTGCATTGAGTCTAATTAACATGCTCAATTTACCTTCCTTCAATTTACAATGCCCTTTAACGACGCCATTACTGGAAAGCTATTGTTGGCATGGACAGTACAAAACCTGATTTGGGAAGAAGCATATTTTAAACGTCTAAATGCCCCTAAATTGAAAACTGAATAGCACCTGTTGCCTCACATGCTGATGAAAATGAATTTGGGCATGCCTCATTTTGGTAGAAAATTTTTAAAAAGTAGTATTAGTTTTTAAAAGTATGGTTATATGAACAAATAATACAAAATAACCTATATGAGTTTTTAAAAAACTGAAATTCGTAAATTAGTAACACATTTGAGTATTGGCTTTCAAACAGTAAATGGACAGTTACAAGAAAATCAGACCCTCACATGTTAATCCTATGGGCACAGAGACTTCTATTTAAATAAAATGTAGTGTAAATCATTTCAATTTAGAAATCTATTCTTCTTAATGTTTTCAAGTTCAGTACAAATCAAATCTATCACCAAGAAATGCCACGAAATAATAGCAGAATGCTTATCAGCATGAGGGAGACAATCTGTCTTCTAAATGAGCCATGTGAACTCTATATTGCCAATGAAAAGTTAGAAATTGCTATCAGTACAAAAAGCGCCTCCTAGAAAGGCAATCATGTCTGAGGACAATGTCCTGGTAGATATCCTTTGTTCCTCTGCAGGGGAAATGAGCAAATGTGCTGTTGTCTGTGGTTTTCCACATGTGCAGTCATAAAAAGGAAGAATCTGGGCTTTTGCCCATCTCTATGGACTCTTTCTGGTACTCAGGTTTTTTGTTCATTTTCCTTCCTTCCTTCCTTCCTTCCTTCCTTCCTTCCTTCCTTCCTTCCTTCCTTCCTCCCTCCCTTCCTCCCTCTGTAAACAAAATTGCTTCTTCTCCCCGAGTTCATTAGAAAACCATTACAGAGTCGAGACGAGGAAGGGTGAGATATTTCATTCTATGTCACTGTGACAGTCCCGACATAAATGCAATGTACTCTGATTCTATTTGTCTCACATGAGTTTTTTAAAAATATTCTACTTTACAGTTCCAGGCACATCTACAGTGTGCATGTGGAGGTCAGAGCACAGCTCTTGAGAGTTAGTTTTGTTCCTCCACAATGTGTGTGTGAGGGGCCGAAATCAAGCTGTCAGGCTTGGAGGCAAGTGCCTTTAATCCCTGAGCCATGTCGGTGACTCCTCAGCCCTCCACCACTTTCTTATAATCCCTGTGCCTTTCATACTGCGCATCTACCTACCTTCATGCCCCACCCCCAGCTTCCATATAGGAGATAAAACTTGTGATGCTTGCCTTTAGGGGACTGGCTTTTATCACCTAACATGATCTACAATCCCAATTTCCGACAAATGCTTAATTTTGTTCTTCTTTAGGGCTGAGTAAAACTCTGTTGTGGACATACACTATGAATACCTTGACTGATCCCATAACCTGGCTATTGTGAATAGTGCCAAGATAAACATAGATGTGCAGGGATCTTCATGGTAATCTGACATGCATTTATTTATTTCTATCATATAAGTTGTGTGGCTAGGTCAACCTAGGTCAACTTTTAGTTTTCTGATTCCCATAGTAGCTAGATCAGTTTACATCACCACAAACAATTTGTAAGTGCCTCCCCCGATCCTGGCACTTGTTTTCTTGGTGATCGCCATTTTGATGAGGTAATTGTTTTGATGAGCATTTTCCTGATGGAAAAGGTGGTGAGCCTTTCTACACGTACTCTTTTATCATGGGTGCTGCATCATCTGAAGTGTCTGCTTACCTCCCTGCTCATTTGTTGACGGGAGTCTTTTTGTTCTTTTATTATTTTGTAGTTTATTTAGTTCAACATATATTCTAGCTATCAGCCCCTTATCAGGTGAATAATTGGCAGTGATTTCCCCAATTTGTACCTTGGCTTCCTTTTCTTTTACTTTACAAGAATGTAGTACAATTTGTCTCTGCACACTTTTATTCCCTGAGTTCCTCAGATCTTATTCAGAAGTCATTGCCTATTACAGATCTTCAAGTGTGTTCCCTAGTAGTTTCACAGTAAGGTCTTTGTTGCTTTTATAAGTCAAAAAACAAATAAAAACTAAAACCTAGGACTGCTCCTAAAAATTTAAAGAACCAGGAACTTGCAGAAATGAACTCACTTCATTTCACAAAGTGAGCAAACAGCAACATGAATATATTCTGTTCAAAACCTCTCAGTATTGATGTACAATGCATGGACACACAGAGCATGTTATCGATGTGGACAGAACACAATCAAGTCGCCTTGTCGCATTAAAGAGGAATAAAACGTAACATTAGAGTGCCCTTCGTGGTCTAAGTGCTCTGCACTCTAATGCTACGCATGTCTCTCAGCAGCACTGGCCGGTAGTTTTGCTCCAAAATCTCCATGTATTCAAAATAGTTGCTCACTCGGAATCCACGTAGTGCTTCTTCCTGTCAGGAGAATACAAAGGGAAGTTCACTTACTTAGAGAAAGATACACAATTCCAAGTGAATAATGTTTAAGTAGCTGAAGGATCATTTGTTCTCAGCTATAGATGCCGGGTAAGTTTACATGGCTAGTGAATGTGTAACTGCTTTTCATTTGGGGAGCTGTGTCTGTATCTGTCAGGAATGAAGCATGGCCTCGTGGAGCAAGGTTATTTTAAGAAGCAAAACTGCTTTGCAGTTAACAACAGCAGCAGCAATAGCAGCACGTCTCCCTAAAATTTTATGTATATTTCAATAGTTTAAATATGTAACTAGTAAAGGCCCAGAATTCTCTCTAAGGATGCTGCTCATAAAGACCTCCCTCAGCCTGTGGTTCACAATGCTAGCTAGCACAGGGCATGTAAACAGTCATTTTTTGCTGTAATGGTTAGTGTCCCAAACGAGGCAATCAAGAATAAACAGCATGAACTTCTATTTATTATTTTAAAGTCTTGGGGGGGGTTAGCTAAGCTTTTCAGTATTCTCAAATATTATCTAATGTAGTATCTATCTATCTGAACGTTTTCTTAAAAATCTTTAGAATAGTCATTCTCAATTTAACACAACTATGTTAGCTTTTGAGGATATAAAAATTTTGGACAATTCATGCCTTTCACAAGTCTATAGTTTAAAGACAAAAAAATGAATAGCACAAACACAACAGCAATCCAAAAGAACGAAAGGCGATACATATTATGTACCAGATAGTTTGTTAGCAGTGGTAGAAGAGAGACATCAGTGTAAGGTAGCTAAAAATACATAGAATTTTTCACACTTTAAAAGCTCCACATGTACTTACAGATATATAAAAAAACCCTCATATATAGTCACTTATGAGTAATATTTCACAGTAAATAGTTATATAGAACTTTACTATTAGTATGCCATGGGTCACTTAAAATCCATATAATTTGAAGAAAAGATACAGACAATCTAAAAAATTATCACTGGTCAGCAAGATTGACAGATGCTGAGGAAACTAAATGGTGTTTAGTGATGGGATTTGCCATTATACCACTCAACACAAACAGGTGAATTCCACTTTTCACTTTAAGGTAAAAGACTGTTTCATCCGTTCTCTCACTTTCACTCACACATCCTATTAGCATATGTAAGCTCTTGGTTGTGCACACCACACTCAAAAGAGAGTGAGGAAAGAATTGTATCATAGACTGTTAACAGCCAAGGGAAAACATGCTCTCCCATTAATAAACATGAAACTTCTCTTAGGGTTACTATTTCAGCAATGAAACACCACAACCAAAGCAACTTGGGGGAAGAAAAAGTTTATTTGGCTCGCACTTCCCTTAAGCAAAGGAAGTCAGGACAGTAACTCAACCAGGGCAGGATCCCAGAGGCAGCAGCTGATGCAGAGGCCATGGAGGGGTGCTGCTTACTGACTTGCTTCACATGGCTTGCTCAGCCTGCTTTCTTATAGAATCCAGGATCACCAGCCCAGGGATGGCACCTCCCCCACTGATCAGTAATTAAGAAAATGCCTTGCTTCTGGATCTTATGGAGGTGTTTTCTCAACTGAGGCACTTTTCTCTTGTATGAGTCTAGCTTGTGCCAAGTTGACATAAAACTACCCAGCACACAACTGAACCAAAGAGATGTTCAAGTGGGCATGGTCATATACACTTGTAATCCTTGCCCTTGATAGACTGTGGCAAGAGGACACTAGAGTCAGTGCCCTCTGAGCAACGCACTGAGGCCCTGTCTCAACAAAGACAACAGAACAAATAGACGTTCACTTGACTAATGGCAGAATATTGGGTCTGTATAAATTTCTGTCTATCAAAATTACTTGTCTACAAACTCGAAAGCACCAAAGTCAGATCTACCTTCCTGGACCAGATTTCACCTTAAACAGCTACTGTAATTATAGAACTCTTACGAACTTACCCATTTTCTTTAAATTATATGTGACTTGGCTTTCATCATTTCTACACTAAAAGTATCCCTAAGTTGGAAGCAATTATAGTAACATCTTTCCTAACAGAGAAATTCCAATGCTGTGAGAACTTCTTCAGGGTGAATTCATGATTTTCAAATAAAAGCTTATTATTCATTAAATGCAAGTTAAATTAAGACATAGCAGTACTCAAACAATAGCTCTAATAATACTTTTCTGGCAAAAAAAATCAAAATATACTTAACATCTTTTAATTATTGTTCTACTTTCATTTAAACATAAAACCACATAGGGGAGCCACAGTTAATACTTGGCTTAAATATATTCCTTTCTTAAAATATATTTTTTTTCAACAACTGATTCCTCTTTTAGATATTAATTTTAAGGTTAAAAGAAAATATTCTAGTAACCACACTGAAGAGATATCATAATATTAGAAAAGGTTACTGAGGTTACATGGTATAAGGAAAGGATTTAAATATACAATTTAAATGCAATTGTAAATGGTATTGTTCATTTTAAAAAATTGGCAGGCAATTTTATTTCTGAATAAAAATTTAAAGTACCCATGTTTCAGTTTTAATCTTTAAAGTAGAATATTTTTCATCTCATCCTAGACATTCTCTAACCCTCTTCTTGGGGGATAATCTTACTTGTGATTATGATCATTTAGATTGTTAGGCTATCACAATCTAAGTGAAGTTTCCTCCAAGTGAAGTTTCATTTGCAGATCGAAGTATATTGGAATCACCCTGTTCTATGAATAGGGAAGCATGTTGTAAAGTACAGGTTTTTTTTTAAAACAGTTTTAACATTTTTGTAACAATAGTGAAATATTTGCTAAAGAAAACACTAGTAGGTTATACTACAATAATTTAAATTTGGGTTACAATATTCACTGAGAGAATGCTACATTTTGTATTATGCCTAATTGCTATTCCATCACTTTGCTTTAACTCTGGGTTTTAGACATTGAATTACCAAAAAGCATTAGAAATTAACATTCTTAACCACAGTGTTGTGTGTTATTACATGATATGATATAAACACAGCTTCCGTCTTTCCTTCAGATATACATGTTCAATTACAAGTTCCTTTTTGTTTTTTAGAACACTTGATCAGGGTCCAGTGAATTTAGAATATTATTTAAAAGATAACTATACTAGTTAACCAGAGACAATTTGAGTTAATGGGATTTATATTCAGCCCAGAACGATTCAAGACCTCTCTATACTAATTCTTAGATTATGAATTTAGGTAAGCCTATGGACTGTAAATCTTGATTTTTCATGTGCCAATGAGGACCACAGTATGAGGGGTGCTCTGTGGACTAGATATTCTAAAACCTGAAGTCTTATCATTCAGCACAAATCCTTCCATGGTTTCTGTCCTGTCTCTTCCCATCTTTATATGCTCGCCTTGTTCTGTCCGCAATGTTCGTCCTGATGCTTAGGGCAGTGGTTTCTCAACCTGAGGGTCGCGACCCCTTTGGGGTTGAATGGCCCTTTTACAGGCTGCCTATCAGACATTCTGTACATCAGGTATTTGCATTATGATTTATAACAGTGGCAAAATTACATTTATAAAGTATCAACAAAAACAGTTTTAATGATGGGGGTCACCACAGCATGAGGAACTGTATTAAAGGGTCACAGCGTTAGGAAGGTTGAGAACCACTGCTCTACAGGGATTCTTGCCTCTGAGCTTTGCAGCTGCCTCTCTACGCTTTTATGAAGGCTTTTCCCCCAGAGCTCTTTACAGGGTTCTTCTTTTAAGGCATTCATGGCCCTTCTTATCCTTTTGAGTGGCCCAAACAATGTCTCTGATTCCCTCCCCATGTCATAGTGTCCTTCCGTAAAAAGTATAATGTCAGAAATATCTATTTATACTGTTTCTCTCAGCAGAATTTGAGAACCATGTGGGACATGGACATTCTATCATGCAACGACAACAGTGCTTGGGATACAGATGTTAGAGAGTAAGTACTGGAATAAGTCAGAGTGAACAGACAATACCTCTAGAAAATCCTTTGTCCGTGGCCTCGTATTCAATGAGCATTTAAAGCATTAATGGTGGCTGTAACAATGTCAACCGACAGTCCTTAAAATTCCCTCTCCTGAGCACACATCAGACAGGGAAAAGCGAGGGTGACACATCAGGGATTATTGACTTCAGCTCCTGCTCCTCAACTCTTTGCCCAGAATATAAGGAGCTACCTATCCCAGACACCCAGGCACCACCGTCTTTTCTCACAAATCCTCTGGGATAAGCCTATGAGGAAAGGTAAGTGATACCTGAATTTCTAAAAGCTCTTTGTATAGGTTATAATTTTCAAAAACACTAGAGACTTATCTGCCAAAAATGTTTTTCAGCAACAATGAAAGCATGAAATTTGCAGGCAAATGGATGGAACTAGAAAAAATCATCCTGAGTGAGGTAACCCAAACCCAGAAAGACAGTCATGCTTTGTACTCATTTATAAGTGGATTCTAGCTAGATATAAAATAAAGAACGATCAGACCACAACCCACAGAACCATGGAGGCTATATATATAGCATGGAGGTCCCTAGGACGACTGTGGCTTATAATAAATTTCAGTTTTACTCAATTATTGAAAAAAAATAGCCAAATGAATAGAAACACATGAACTATGAACCAAAGGCTGAGGAGCCCCCAGCTGGATCAGGCCCTCTGAATAGGTGAGACAGTTGATTGGCTT